GGTTTGATCCTCAGCACCGCATAAAAATAGATAAAATAACGGTTTTGTGTCCAACTACAACTAAAAAAAAAATAATAAAGGGGGGGGGGCGGTATTACAACAGATACCAGTGAAACCCAGAGGGTCAGTAGGTTCTAATTTTGAAAACTCATATTCTAATAAATTGGAAAATCTAGAAGAAATGGATAAATTTCTAGACACATACAGACTACCAAAATTGAACCAAGAGGATATAGAAAACCAATAACAAGTGACAAGATTGAAACAGTAATAAAAGCTTCCAGAGAAAGAGAAGTCCAGGGCCAGGCAGATTCATGGATGAGACTTACAAAAACTTAAACGAGATCCAAAACCAATGCTCCTCAAATTATTCCATGAAATAGAAAGAGGAGGAGTATTTCCAAACTCATCCGACAAATGGAATAGAGTAGGAGACCCAGAGACAAACCCCACAGCTACGGTCACCTGAACTTTGACGAGTGCCCCACCATGCTCCTGTGACAGAGATGGACATCCACGATACATAAAACCTCAAACACTCGACCACCAAAACCCCCAACAACCCACCCACTAGATGGCGACCAGCTGAACATTCCGAGGAAGTACTAATGACCGCGATACCGTGGTCATCGGTGACAGTCCTGCTCCCCACATGTTGAAGTCTAACATTACGGAAGCAGCCGAGGCAAGGATATAAAGCAGGGTTTGTTTAGAAAGGGGTCACATAGCCTTCTCCCGGGACGGAGAAGGGCCGTCGCTGGTGTCCTGGTGTCCCAAGAAGCGAGGTGCTCTGCCCTTTTATGTCCTAGGGTTCCTTGTTCTCCTGCCCTCTTCCCCTTCTGTCTCCTTCCTGCGTACACACACGACTAGGCCCAGGGACGCTCCGTGGGAGGGCCCAAAGGTGGGAACAGGTGGGCTGAGGGGGAAGGGCAGGATGGAGCAGCCCAGGACACGTTAATTAACAACCTTAGAGCTCCCTGTAGGGAGGGGCAATCCTGGGACAGGTACCTTAGCCACAGGTTGGCTCAGGGGCAGGTTCTTGATAAGGGTGGAGGAAGGGCTCTGAAGGAATTTCAATCCCTCGGGAGCCAGTCTCCAACCTCCCGGGACTCACTCAAAATTGGCCTGACTTGATCTGACCTGACTCGACTTACCTATCTATACAGACTGCCTCTCTAATTCTACGTCAATGGAGGCTGAGACAGGAGGATTGCAAGTTCAAAGCCAACCTCAGCCTCAGCAAGGCACTAAGCAACTCAGTGAGACCCTGTCTCTAAATAAAATGTGAACTAGGGCTGGGGATGTGCTCAGTGGTTGAGTGCCCCTGAGTTCAATCCTGGGTACAGACTAAAACTGGCCCCACCATAAGATCCAGGTACACATACCACCCCTCCGTATTTATCCAAAAGAACTAAGTCTGTGAGCTTCAGAGATGCCTGCATGCCAAGCTGTGGGGAGCCAGCCCAGCCGTCTGTCAACAGAAGAATGGATAAAGAGAATGTGGTATATGTACACTATGGAGCAGTCTTCAGCCAGGAAGAAGAACAAAACTGCATCATTTGCAGGAAAATGGATGGAACCGCAGGGCATCTGTAGATATAAGCCAGACTCAGAAAGACAAGGTCCTCTGCTTTCTCTCAAATGTGGTAGCCAGAGGAAGGAGCCCATGAGAGGGCAGGGGAGGAACTGGCCAAGCTCTGTGCATGTGCAAATATGTAATGATGAAACCCACTGTCCTGAACAATTAATATGCACCAGTAAAAAGTAAAGCTAGGTAAAAAAGTTAAAAAGAAATGCAAGGCACTCACACTAGAGAAGAAAAATCAAAATCTATTCACAGGTGTCAGGTCTTACGTGTAGAAAATCCTAAAGAATCCAGCAGGCACGGTGGCACACACCTGTCATCCCAGTGGCTCGGGAGGCTGAGGCAGAAGGATCATGAGTTCAAAGCCAGCCTCAGTAACAGCAAGGTGCTAAGCACTTAGTGAGACTCTGTCTCCAAATAAAATACAAAATAGTGCTGGGGATGGGGCTCAGTGGTTATGGACTCTTGGGTTCAATCCCCAGCACACACACAAAAAAATAAGAAGAAGAAGAAATAATTTAAAAAAAAAAACAACGAAGAAGAAGAGATAGCAAAAAGAAAAAAATAAAGGAGAAAGAAGCAATCCCAGCGCTCCTGATCGCCAAAGGGATTTGTTTATTATTTATTTATTTTACTTGTCAATGGACATTTATTCTATTTATATGGATGCTGAGAATCGAACCCAGCGCAGCCACAATTTTGAAAGCTACGTCCTGATTTCCAAACGCTCTACAAAGTAACAGGAATAGAAGGTGTGAATCGGGCATAAGAATAGACATGTAGGGGCTGTGGCTGTGGCTCAGAGGAGAGCGCTTGCCTTGCGCGTGAGAGACCCTGGGTTCCATCCTCAGCACCACATAAAAATAAATAAAGGTATTGTGTCCAGCTACAACTAAAAAATAAATATTTTTTTTAAAAAAAGAGTAGACATGTAGGTCCAGAATTGAGAGCCAGGACTGACCTCCAGCAGAGTAGGGGAACACAGATGGGTAAAGGAGGGTCTTTTCAACAAATGGTTCTGGAAAACCTGGATATCCACAAGCAGAAGAATGGAACTGAATCCTTATCTATGTCATATTCAAAAACGAACTCTCAATGGGTTAAAGATTAGATTTAAGAGCTGAAACTGTAAAACTCCTGGAAGAAAGTATAGGGGGAAATCTTCATGATTAGATTTGATGATGGTTTCTTAAATATGGCATCAAAAGCACAGGCAGCAAAAGAAAAAAATAAACTGGATTTCATCAAAATTTTAGAAATTTTGTGCATCAAATGACTCTATCAAAAGAACAAAAAGTCAACTGACAGAATGTAAGAAAAAATCTGCACATCGTATCTCTGATAAGCTCTGGTATCCAGAATATAAAAAGAATTTCTACGATTTAACAACAAAACAAACCAAGTTTTTAAAAAGGCCTCAAATAAACATTTTCCAAGGAAAATATACAAGTTGCCAATAATCACATGCAGAGAGTGTCAACATCGTTAGCAAGTAAGAACCTGCAAATTAAAACCACAGGGTCAGGGATGAGGGGGAAGGGCTAAGGAGTGACATTGGCCAAATTATATTGTATATTGTGTGCGTGCACAAATATGTAACAATAAAGCCCATCATTATGTACACTCCAATGCACCAATTAAAAATGGGGAAGAAAGCAAAACCACAGTGAGATACTACTTCATACCCATTAGGATCACTATTCTTTTATTAAAAAAAAAAAAAATAGGGACTGGGTTGTGGCTCGGTGGCAGAGCACTTGCCTAGCACGTGGGAGGTACTGGGTTCCATCCTCAGCACCACATTAAATAAAATAAAATGTATCCATCTACAAGTAAAAGAATGAAAAAACAGAAAGTAGTAAGTGTTGGAGACAATGTGGAGAGCTTTGAATCCTCGTGTATTGCTCGTGGAAGGAAGAATGCTACAGCCCCAGGGGACAGCAGCCTGGGGACTTTGGGAAAGATAAATGGAGAAGTGCCATGTGAGGCCACGACTCCACTCATAGTGTCCACCCAGGGGAACTGACGGCAGGAACTCAGGTTCAGGGCCAGGGCCTCACAGTGGACCTGGGTGTCCACGGATGGCTGAAGTACCCGGGAATATCATTTGGCCTTAAGAAGGAAGTTCTGACCCAGGCTGCCTCCTGGGCAAATCTCAGGACACTGTTGAGTGAAACACAGCCCAGCCCCTCCAGAGGACAGAGGGGGGGGGGGGGGCTGCTGTGACCTGGGGCCAGGGCCAGGGGCCAGAGCTTGTGCGGCCACAGAGCTTCTGCTGGGGAAGACTTCCGAGTTCTTAGAAGGTAGGTGCTGGTCCCTGATGGATGCCACCCATTCCACACCCAGAGAGTTTATACGGTGTAAATTCTACCTCAGTGAAGAGGTACCGAGTCAGGGAGCACTCAGGCGGATGTCCACGCGGAGAGAGGGCTCCCAGACCCTTGGAGGAAAACACTCCTGGGCTGCGACCGGGGGAGGCTGGGATGGCACGCCTCTTAGGTGACAGAAACGATCTACAGAGTTTCTACAGGAGATGCTCTGAGAAGGGGTGTGTTGGGGGTCCCCCAGGCTGGCAGCAGGGAAGGCTCCTTTTTAGATTTGTTCCCTACAACTCGCAGGAAGAGCCGCCTGCCCAGCAACGTGCCTTCGCGGATCTGGGAGAGGCAGGTCACCGAGGGGAGAGCGGAGGCGGCCTCTTCTCCCGGTAAAGAGGGGCTTTTACCTCTAGGAACCCCAGCTTCCCAGGAGGACAGGGCAAGGGGCAGAAGCAGGGGGAGCAGACCTGAAGCCTCTGCAGCCGCGGTGGAGGTGCGAGCCGTCTGGACCGCAGGATGGACTGCGGGCCGGCGTGGCCAGCCCTGGAGGGGGGGCGGCAAGGGCCCAGGAGGGCAGGAGGCTAGGTGATGGACAGGTGGGTCGGTAGGCAGAGACCGCCGTGTGGGTGACAGACGTGGATAGTTATGTAGGCGTGGACAGGCATACAGATCCTTCCAGGGCGGCTGGACCGTGTCCCCGTGCGGATTGCGCCCAGGAGCAGGGGCCAGGGCGCGCCCGGGCAGGAGCCCTGCCAGGGGGAGCCTGGGGGCGAGTCTCCCTGGGGCGGTGGAGAGCGGCGAAGGCGGAGACCCGGCGGGCGTCCAGGGCTGGGGTCTGGCAGCCGCGAGCGGCGCGGGCGGCGGCAGGTGGCTCCGGGGCCAGCGGCGCCGGCGGGTGGTGGCAGGCCAGGCCGTGCGCAGGGTCCGGGAGGAACGGCAGAGGCGGTGGCCAGGGGGCGTCCCCGCCGGCTCCCTCCAGCCGTGCCACCCGCGTCCTCCAGCGCGCGGCCACCCGCGCCACCGCGGAGCCGCACGCCTGCGCGCCAGGCGTCCCCCGTCCCCGCCCACCCCAGGGGCCGCGCGTTCGGGGGGTGCGGAGAGGGGTCGGCCTCCTGCTGCGCAGAACGCCCGGGAGACGCCGGTCCCAGCTTCCAGTTAGGGTTCCGCTCTGCTTTAAAGCGACTTGGAACTACTCCTGGCCCCGCCGAGTTCGGGCCGGCCCTCGCCTGGCTCGCGGGGCCTGGGAGCCACCTGGAACCACGGGGCCGAAGCCCTCCCTCCTCATTCCCACGGGCCGGACGGCTCCGCGGCAGGTCGCCCGCCCGAGCACGGCACAGCGAGCCGTTTCGTGGGTCCCACAAGAACAGGAGGGACAGGACACACGCAGACGGGGGGGTTCACGTGGCCGTGGACTGCGGTGTACAGCAGGAGACTTGGGGACAGACGTGGCTTTCCAGGGTGGAGAGCCGGGTAGTAGGACGGGGCGGGCGTGCGGGGAGGATGGGAAGCGGACCCAGGTGCAGGTGGGCTGGACGGGCGTGGGGCAGAGGTGGGATGGGGAAGGTGGAGACTGGCCAGGGGTGTGAGAGACGTACTGTGGGGAGGGGAGTCGGGGAGCTGGCTCCTGCGCGACACCAGAGGCCAGGCGTGGGGTGGGGCATCCGCGGCGAGCCCTTGGGAGAGGCCTCAGCCCTGATCCCCCGCGGAACCCAGAGCCATCTCCAAGCCATTTTGGTTCCGAGATGCGCAGGTTAAACCAACCCCAGCTGGGGGCAAGGGGGGCGCCACCTGCCTTCCAGCGAAATCCAGTGCGTGGGGAGCCTGCGCCCCGGGCCGGCCGGGGACAGGCTCGATCCCCAGGCCCACCTCCCTCCTGCATTTCGAGGTCTGGTTTCTGCCTGGCCTCGAGGCTGGGCGGGAAGCGTCGCGGTTTCCCCATCTGTGCTAGACTGAGGGCACTGGTGGGGGCAAGGACAGGCAGCTGCGGGGCGGCCCCGCGACCTGCGACCCGCTAGGCGTGCGCTTAGGAGGGGCGCGCGGGCCTGCGCCTGGCTTAGGGCTCTTGGAGGGGTGGGAGGCAGTGGACGTTTCCCTGGAGCCTCCCTGGGCAGGGATAAGGGAGGGGGCAGAGCCAGGGGACTCAAGGGTCAAGCCTTTCCCCTTCCTCTGCTTTGCTTGCCTGGCGGAGAGTGTCTTTAAGGACATGCTCTTGTCACAGGTTCCCAGGACAAGAGTGGTTGATGTCCCCTAGGCCCTGGCCCATGGAAGGCTTCCCTCATGAGGAGAGATGGCCCCAGACGTCCACACTCAGCCACGTGCTCAGGTAAACTTTGAGCTCAGGTGATTCGGTCCCTCCTTTCTCTTCCCTAGAGAGTCTTCCATGAGCTGGATGGTGCAGGTCCAGTGTGACCATTACCTGGGTGACCCAGGGCCTCGGGCCTCTGCCAACAAGAACCAAAGGGAGGCTCCCACTGGGATAGTGTGGACAGCTCTATGCCCCAGGGTCACCTGACCCCCACCTCTGGAGAAGTGGAGCTAGCACCTGCTCCTGTGGAGGTCACCGAGGTGTATAGGGACCTAGTGTCCCTCCCCAGTTCACCCGGGTCTTCCCAGATACCCCAGCAGGGTCTGTGAGTGGCACCTGTTGCTGTGCCCGGCAGAGAAGCCCTTCACTGAACCACTGGTCCGCCTTCTCAGAGATGAAGAGGCTGCTTTCTGGGCCATGTGGTTGGCGGCCTTGGCTGTCGATTTCCGCCGGTGCGTGCTGTGCCACCACAGCCCTGGCCGCCTGGGCTGTACCTAGAGTTCCTCCATCCCTCCCATGTCCCCCCATCCCCATTATGGATCAGCATGAACATATCAGAGAGAACTTTCAGCCTTTGGTTTTGGGGATTGGCTCACTTCACTTAGCATGAGCTTCTCCTCAACTACCCGAAAGATCCAGCTGGAATCTTGACTGGTTTTTCTGTTAGATCTGTGGAGCACTTTGGGAAGACGACTGCCTGTGCTGAGCCTTCAGGTCCATTGGTGGAAGGCTTTGCCTTTCTGGTATTTTGTTTGTTGTTTGTTTCAAGAGGGTTTTTTAGTCTCCCCCTGACAGAACTTGTGCTTGTCAGAAGCTGGCCCAGGCACTTTGGGAGAGGTTACAAATGGTGACCTTTTAAACCTTGGTTTCCAGGTCCCCGTCTACCTGGCTGAACCCATCCTGGGAGCTCCTTTGTTGTTTGTTTGTGTATTAGTGTTGTTGTTGTTGTTGTTGTGTTTGGTACCGGGGATTGAACTCAGGGACACTCAACACTGAGCCACATCCCAGCCCGATTTTGTATTTTGTTTGGAGACAGACTCTCAGGGAGTTGCTGAGGCTGAGTTGCTGAGGCTGGCTTTGATCCTTGTGTCTCAGCCTCCCAGCTGCTGGGATTACAGGTGTGCATACCGCCCCACACCCCAGGCTTCCTCCGTTTTCTAAGAGACTCCTTGGGATCTTCTACATAGTAATCAGGGACAGTTTTCTCTTCCTCTGCAGGTGCAGGGGTCATCCCCACCTTGACCCTGTTGCGCTTTCACCAGGAGGCTGCGAGCTGTGAGCTGCGCTGGCTGTAGATTTCTGTCCAGGCCAGATCAAGGTCAGGGCAACTTGCTGGGGCAAAAAGTCTGCACTGACAATTCATTCTCTGAGTGCTTTCTCCCTGTCCTCCTTCCCTCCTTCAGTGTGCCCCACCCTGGGGACCACTGCTCTTCTGTAGGGAACACATCATTTTTGTTTTTAAGTTTTCTCTTGTTGTCTTTGGTTTTCAGAATCTGGCTATAAAGTAACCTACCTTGGAGTGAAATTCTCTGCTCCTAGAATCTGCAGGTTTATGTCGTGCACTAAGCTCGGTGAATTTTTAGCTAGAATTTTACCATATATTTTTTCAGTCTGACACGCCACTCCTAGGGCTCCAGGGACGTGGGTATCAGGGCCACCACTGTGCCAGTTCTGTTCATTTTCTTAAATTATTTTTCCATTGTTCAGATTAATTTCTCCTCTCTTCTGTCCATTCTGCTATTGAATCTGACCAGTGAGGTTCTTTTTTCTTTTAGTAATTACATTTTTCAGTTCTAAGATTGTGCTTTGGTTCTCCTTTTCAAGAGTGGTCCACTTTATGTGTATATATTTTTAGTTATATTTAGACACAATACCTTTATTTTATTTATTTACTTTTATGTGGTGCTGAGGGTCGAACCCAGGGCCCGGCACATGCTAGGGAGCGCTCTACTGCTGAGCCCCAGCCCCGTCTCCACGTCATGTTTTGAATACAGTCCTGCTGCCCTGCCACTGTGGCTTGATTCTAGAACAGACGAGTTTCTTTCTCTTCCTCATGCCCTTCCCCTCCCTGATCTCTCCCCTCACTAATCTGGGGCGGGGTAGAGGACAGGATTACCTTTCTTTCCACTCTAAACTGAGTTATCTGTCCTTGAGCACAGGTCCACACTGATATGAAGCAATTCAGACCCCCAGGATGACACTAAGAGTGTCTCCCATTGCAACTCTGGACAGAGAACAGCATGGGACACCTGGAGTGTAGCCTTTAAATCACCTCTTCAACCACCTCTCACCCCCAATGGGCAGGATCACAGCTCTGAGACAGGAGCCCCTGTGCTTCTCCTTTGCTAGAAGAGCAATAAAACTTCTTTTGCCTTTTTCTCAAATCCATGTCCTCATTGGATTGGCATCGGGGACAAGGACAGAGCTTTCCATTACCTGATGCATCTTGTTTCTTTGCTGAGCCGGTGTTTATGTCAGGACTGTTTGCAGTTGCTGGTTCAAGCATCTCTAAAGAGCTCTCTGGAGTCCTTGATGAACAAATCACCTTTGCGAGGCTCTGCAGTGCTGCCATCTGTGGCTGGGATTTTCACCCTCCTCATCTGTCCAGTGGTTTTGATTTCTATCCTGGGAAATTTGAGGTTGATGTTTCATGTTAATCTCCTGTAGGATATGGTCCCTGTGTTGGCTCAGTTCCCAGGGCTCTGCTGTAGGTCCCGGGCTAGCCGACCTGTGCACCACCTTGAAGAGGGGCTCAGATCCACACACCTGCAGATTAGGGATGAACTCAGGAGTTCAAAAGTCAGAGTTCTTGGGATGTCCTCCTCACGCTTCTTTTTCTCTGTGACTTTCTGGTACTTTCCAGTTACCACTTCTGTATTTGTGACCAAACGGCAGGAGAAGGGAGAGGGGAAGAGCCCTTTGGGAGGTTGCCACACCCAGAGTGACACACGTCAGCAACTGGAGAAAACGATCCTATTCACAACAGTCTCAAAGATAAAAATATGCCTGAAATGGGCTTAATAAAACAGTCTGGCACAGTGGCGTCCCACAGCATTCCCAGTGTGCGGTGCTGAAGAGCTCTGGACATGGGACTTCCAAGGATCAGCAGCTCACTACTGTTCGAAGGCCGTGCGCCCCCATGCCCATCACAATGTGAACAGGATCTTTTTGTGTGTGGGTATGGAAAAAATCATCAATCTGATCATAAAATTTATATAAAAAGCGCAAGGATTCACAATAGCCAAACAATTTCAAAAAGGAATGAAGTTGGAGGACTAACAATTTTGAATTTGAAAACTTGCTACAAAACTATAGTAATAAAGTGAGCGATCAACGTCCAGATCCATGGAGCCCAGGTAGGCCCATCTGGACTGGTCAGTTAACTTAACGACGCTGCCAAGGATTCCCATGGGGAAAAGGGCTGTCTGTCCCACAATGACACAATGTGACCAGGTACCATGTGTCAGAGATAGTGGAGACCCTCGCTTCATGCCTATCACAAAAATGAGCCCAAATGAACCTTGAAGACATGGAACCCTGAACTCAAAGGAAAGGGGGATCTCCACGACTGTGCCAGACAGTCCCCTGGACAGACACCAAGGCAGGGTCCATGAAGGAGAGGGACTGAACCCATCACACTGACAGTTCCATGCTCCATGACTTCATTAAGGAAGTGACGTTTGGGAGAAAACATTTGCAGATTGCCGCTGTGACAACGGACTCGCACTTCACACTCGGGGACACGGGCACCGGGCACCGCCCTGGCTGCTCTGCCACTGCAGCTCAGATTTTAAAGGGACAGGTTTCTCTCTCCTCCTCTCTCCCTGCCCCTCCCTGAGCTCAGGGAAACAGGTCACCTTTCTTCCCATCCACGCAGACTCCTGTCCCTGAGCACACACCCTCCATAGGCAGGACATCCTCCAGACTCTGGGGATGGCCCAGAAGGTCTCAGAAATGACTGTCTCCCACGTTAACAAGTGAATTTCAGCTCCCACAGAGACAGGTGGAGTGTGGCCTTGGAGTCGCCTCTGAACGCCCCTGTTCCTGCCGATCTGTGGGACAGGGTCCGCTGTGTTTCCCCTTTGCTGACAAAGCAATAAACCTTCTTTTCCTTTTTCTCAAAACTGTGTCCTCCTCATTGGATTGGCATCGGGGACAAGGACTGAACTTTCAGCAACAAAACAAATAGTTAAAAATGCTTAAATGGTAAGTTTTAAAACTATATATACACACACACACTTTTTTTTTTTTTTGATACTGGGGATTGAACTCAGGGGCACTCAACCACTGAGCCCCATCCTCAGCCCTATTTTGTATTTTACTTAGAGACAGGGTCTCACTGAGTTGCTTAGCGCCTCACTTTTGCTGAGGCTGGCTTTGAACTTGCAATCTTCCTGCCTCAGCCTCCCAAGCCTCTGGGCGTGTGCCACTGCGCCTGGTAAAATGTTATATATATTTTACCCAATTAAAAACGAGCTGGGTGCAGTGACACACACCTGTAATCCCCATTACTCAGGAGGGTGAAGCAGGAGGATCCCAAGTTCAAGACCAGCCTGGGAAACTTGGGCCCTGTCTCAAGATAATCATAACAAAAAGGACTGGAGTTGCAGCTCAGGGGCAGAGTGTTTCCTAGCATGTAAATAAAATAGATAAACATGATTTTAAAAAATAGTAAAAATACAGGCAAGACGTTACATTAGACATTTCAACAGAGAAGATAGGAAAGGTTTTGACAGATAAAAGGTGGTGACACCATTGGCTACTAGGAGTATCCAAGTGGAAGCCGGAGGGCTCACTTCACACCCCAAAAGGGCCTCCTGGGAGGCCACCAGTGCTGGCGGGATGTGGAGGCAGCGGCACTCCCCTCACCAGGGGAATGTGCAGCAGCTTCCGAAGGACCCGATTCCTTCCTCTACCCAAGAGAAATGACAGCGTGTCCACCATGCCCTGGGCCTGAATGACCACAGCCCAAATGCAGGAACACACAGAGGACCCGTGCACTGGCATGTGGTGTGTGTGTGTGTGTGTGTGTGTGTGTGTGTGCGCGCTCACGTGCTCCTTGTGTGTTGGGTAAATGCTGGGTGGTGACAGGACGGGACCCGAGTGGACAGGCAAACATGGCGTATCCAAGTGCGGGCAGCTCGGTGGACACAGCTGAGCACCAATGGACTCACAGTGAGCATGCCCAGCAGCAGCCAGACACCACTGAGCTGTCAGGGAAGGCGGGTCCGTTGAGGCAGAGGCTGGAAGTGGCGGGTACCAGGCACCAGGATACCTTCAGGTGACGAAAATGTTCTAAAGCTGGCTGGTGGTGATGGTTGCACAACTCAGCAAATTCACTGAATTCCCTCAAGTGTGGGTGGACGGCTGAGGCTGCTCACAGTGGGCGGGCTGGATGTATGTCAATCACACCTCAGTCAAGTGCTTTAAAATCCCTTTCCCGGACTTTAGGAGCTCTCCCTTTGACTCTCTGAGATATGCCTGCAGTGAGTCAGGGTTGGTCCAAGAGGACTTTCCTCAGGTCTTAGGGACTCTCCTGCCTCTGCACTGGAAGAAGGCTGTCCCACCCAGCCAGCTCCTGTCCTGGAGCTGCCGTCCACCCTGCAGCCTGGCAGAGCCCAGTGCCCCCTGGTCCACTGTTGCGGCTGCCACCAGGACCCTGAAGTCTGGGCCTGAGGTCCACTCCAAGCCTGGCCTCAGGACCCCCCAGGGCCTGCCTCCAGGAGGCCGTCACTGACCTCCAGAGGAGTGGGTCCCGTCCTGTCACCACCCAGCATTTACCCAACACACAAGGAGCACGTGAGCACACACACACACACCACGTGCCATAAACACACATACAAGTGACATACACACACATGTACACACACACCACATGCCATAAACACACACACCACGTGACATACACACATATACACACACACCACGTGCCATAAACACACACACCACGTGACATACATACTCATGTACACACACACCACGTGACATACACACACATGTACACACACACCACGTGCCATAAACACACACACCACGTGACATACACACTCATGTACACACACACCACATGCCATAAACACACACACCACGTGACATACACACACATGTACACACACACCACGTGCCATAAACACACACACCACGTGACATACACACTCATGTACACACACACCACGTGCCATAAACACACACACCACGTGACATACACACTCATGTACACACACACCACGTGACATAAACACACACACCATGTGACATACACACATATACACACACACCACGTGCCATAAACACACACACCACGTGACATACACACACATATACACACACACCACGTGCCATAAACACACACACCACGTGACATACACACTCATGTACACACACACCACGTGCCATAAACACACACACCACGTGACATACACACACATGTACACACACACCACGTGCCATAAACACACACACCACGTGACATACACACTCATGTACACACACACCACGTGCCATAAACACACACACCACGTGACATACATACTCATGTACACACACACCACGTGACATACACACTCATGTACACACACACCACGTGCCATAAACACACACACCACGTGACATACACACACATATACACACACACCACGTGCCATAAACACACACACCACGTGACATACATACTCATGTACACACACACCACGTGCCATAAACACACATAAACACACACGCCACGTGACATACACACACATGTACACAAACACCACGTGCCATGAACATACATACACGTGACATACACACACATGTACACACACACCACATGCCATAAACACACACCATGTGACATACACACACATACACACACCACGTGACAAACACACATACACGTGACATACACATATGTACACACACCACGTGACATACACACACATACATACACACCACGTGACAAACACACATACACGTGACATATACACACGTACACATACCCCACGTGCCATAAACACACATACCACGTGACATACACACACATACACATACCCCATGTGCCATAAACACATACACCACGTGACATACACACACATGTACACACATACCACGTGCCATAAACACACATACACATGACATACACACACTTGCCACACACACTCAAATGGTAGTTTATCCCCATGGGCACTGGGAAGAGTGTCCCTGAGGGTGGCCCCATCTCTTGGGACCTCCCAGTCCTGCGGGGGACTAGGGAGCAAGGGCCAGGGGGCCTCGTGCAGGGCAGGAGCCTGGGTCTGGGCAGGACCCACCTGTGTGGGGTAAGCCTGTGCCCATCTGGGCTGGAGTGGTGCCTGCACCTGGCACCGGCTGGGGCACACTGCTGGGGGCCTGCAGGAAGGCAGCTGTGACAGCACGAGTGCCTGTACCTGTGGCCTGCAGGGGGCACTGCGGCCAGTGGACTCTGCCGGGTCTGGGCAGGCTATCAGGGGCCAGCATCCATGGGCCTGGGCTCCTTCTAGGATGTGGGCACGAGGCGGCTGGGCCGGCCTGGTCTCCCATACTGCCGCAGACCCAAGGCCGGGTCCCTGCACCCTGCTCGGTTGTTCCCGAGGTGAGACCACTGCAGTGTGGCCGGCCTAAGAAGGGTGCACCTCACCACCCTCAGGCACAGGCTGCTGCATGCCAGGTGGGCTCGGGGCTTGCCTTCTGATACTGGACAAACCCCACTGAGCCAAGGGTGGTGTCTTGTGCTTTCACCCCTGAGGGGACTGTGTGAGAGAATGAAGGCCAGAGACAGAGAGCAGCTGGCGTCCCATGGTCAGGGAGCTGCCCACCCTCAGCTGCCCACCCGGGACTGGGCCTAGCATGGGAAGCTGGTCCCTGTCCACACCCTGTGGTCCAGCCCACTGTGCCGGCAGGGGTCGCTGGGTGACCTGGGCAAAGGCACAATCCCTCTCTAAGCAGGCCTGCTGCACACCTCCTCCCCAGCCCCCTTGCTCCCCGCTGCTGGCCCAGGGTGCCCACAGCTAATCTGGCCAGCTGGGAATGGGGCATAGGGGTCAGGTGCCTTGAGGCCGGGCCCGGCTAACCTCGTGGTAGGAACAGACTGTCCCCAAGGCTGGGGGTGGGGGAGGGAGCTGAGAGACCAGGGGACCACAGCCCTGGTCCTTAGTCCCACCCCAAGCTTTGTTCGACTCCCCAGGACCGGTCAGCACGCCCAGGCTGCTGCAGGCTGCGCCCATGCTCACTGCTGGTGCTTCAGAAGGAGGGGCTCCACGTGGGCCTGCGTCTGTGGGGCAAGGTCTTTCCCATCTGTCCAGCCTCCAGCCTTGCTTGGGTCAGACTGACCTCCTGCCCTCCCAAGCATCTCAGGCAAACCTCCTCCCTGGGTTGGACTCTGACCACTCGGCCCTCCTCCTGCCTGCGCTGAAGAGCTTGACCTGGACACTCCACAGGGGAGCCTGGGGGTCAGCACCCCCACACCACCGCCTTCCACATTCGCCTGGCCCATCCTCTGCCCTCCTGCCTCGGCAGCCAGCACCCCAGACCTCCGGGAGCCAACCCCAACTCTGCAGTACCCTGGATGCCCTCTAGGCAGCTCCACAGAGGTGGGACCTAGGGGGCCCAGGACACTGTCCTAGGGAAGTTCTGAACAGTCCCACCCAGGCAGACCTTGGTGGTCTAGGTCACGTGCCTGTGACCGTTCTGTCTGTGGTGAGGGAGCCCAGCCAGCAGCCCTGGGCAGGAGGGCCAGGCACACAGGTCCTTTTCCCCAGCTCCTTCATACCCAGGGCCCCGGATCCCTGAAACTGGGTATGAAGAAAGCCACAACGTGGCCTGGCCACTCCTCAGATCCAGAGCACCTGCCCACCAGAGTGGCCCTGTTGCCTGACAAGGGCACCCTCTGGTCCTCCAGCCAGGCCTGGTGAGGCTCCTGGGGGCCTCAGCTGGGCTGGGTCTAACCTGAGACCTTGGGTACCAGTACTTCGTCCCTCTCTGGTCCCCTGGTTGCCGTGCTGGCCAGAGCATGGAGCCACTGGGCACAGTGGTCTTTGTGAGGAGCCCCAGGGACACAACGAAGTAACAACGGCTTCTGTCTCGGGCAGGCACAGCCCAAGAGGGCCACCTGTGGGCCGGACCCTCAATC